GTATATCCCAACCTATCCTGGTATATCCCAACCTATCCTGGTATATCCCAACCTATCCTGGTATATCCCAACCTATCCTGGTATATCCCAACCTATCCTGGTATATCCAAACCTATCCTAGTATATCACAACTTATCCTAGTATATTCCAACCTATCCTGGTACTTCACAACCATTAAGATTGATATAAAGAAAGGTGTATAAAGATCGTCTAAATAAATCCTTGTTTAGACAGTGTAAGGGTGAGGAGTTAAAGTACCGTGGTGCTGCTTGTTTGGTTTGGAAAAGATTCTCCAATCTGTTTGAAACCCTGCAGTCCATGTTCTGGGCAATCTTCGGCCTGGTCAGCCTGGCGGACTTCGAGCTGACAGGGATAAAGGAGTTTACTCAGTTCTGGGCCAAGCTTATGTTCGGTGCCTACTCCTTCTGTAATGTAATTGTTCTGCTCAATATGCTGATTGCTATGATGTCAAACTCATACTTCAAGATATCAGAGAAATCAGATAAGTAAGTTGCTTTGTTTTCATACTTTGTATATAACGCAGCCCAAACTCTAAACTTTCTTTAATAATCGTATTTTCATTGATATTATGATTTGTCATCAATAGAACTGTATTTGATAGATCTAACTATATTCGATAGATCGAACTGTATTCGATATATCGAACTGCATTTGATAGGTCAAACTATTATCGATAGATTGAACTGTATTCGATAGATCAAACTATTATCGATAGATCCAACTGTATTCGATAGATCTTTAATAGGTGGAACTGTCTTCGATGAATTGAGCTTTTTTCTATGAACTGTCTTCAATAGATCGAACAGTCTTTAACAGATTAAACTGTCTTTGATAGATCAAACTGACTTCGGTAGATCGAAATTTCTTCAATAAATCGAACTGTCGTCGATAAAACTAACTGTCGTCGACAGATCGACAGATAGAACTGTTATTGATAGATTGAAATGTCATCAATAGATAGAACTGTTTTCGCTCCATGGAACTGTACTCGATTGATCAAAATTTATTCGATAGATCAAAATGTATTTGATAGATAAAAATGTATTTGATAGATAAAAATGTATTCGATAGATCAAAATGTATTTGATAGAAAAAAGTGTACTTGATAGATCAAAATGTATTTGATAGATCAAAATGTATTCGATAGATCAAAATGTATTTGATAGATCAAAATGTATTCGATAGATCAAAATGTATTTGATAGATCAAAATGTATTCAATAGATCAAAATGTATTCGATAGATCAAAACGTATTTAATAGATCAAAATGTATTCGATAGATCAAAATGTATTCAATAGATCAAAATGTATTCGATAGATCAAAATGTATTTAATAGATCATACTGTTTTCAATAGATCAAAATGTATTTGATAGATCAAAATGTATTTGATAGATCAAAATGTAAAATGTATTCAATAGATCAAAATGTATTCGATAGATCACAAAATGTATTTAATAGATCAAAATGTATTCAATAGATCAAAATGTATTCGATAGATCAAAATGTATTTTATAGATCATACTGTTTTCAATAGATCAAAATGTATTTGATAGATCAAAATGTATTTGATAGATCAAAATGTATTCGATAGATCAAAATGTATTTGATAGATCAAAATGTATTCGATAGATCAAAATGTATTTAATAGATCAAAATGTATTTAATAGATCATACTGTTTTCAATCAACTTTAAAAGATAAAACAGATCAATATATAGGATTCCGTTTAACAATGTTGAGTGCATTAAGAAAATGCAGTTTCAGCTAAAATATTCTATAAGAAGCTTAAACTAATCCATTGTGTTATAGTTAGTTAGACTTGCGGAGCCTTTTCTCTAGATTTGAATCTCAACCTAATTAAATCTTTAAATCCAACCAAATCTTAGAATTGTAAACTTCCCGCTGTCTAGGCCTTTAAAGGTTTAAATAGAATTTCGGAAATTAGAACATTTATATTATTTTACTAAACATTTGCTTTTATTTACATTGGTCGAGTAAATATACAGGGTGAGTCAAAGAAAAGTGTGATTAGCGGCGCCTGGTGCAAAATTGTACCTTTCTTGTGTGCAACTCTACTGTAAAGTGTTTTTTTCAATAATTGTTGAATATTTGAAATTTGGCTCAAAAAAATTCCGCGAAGCTTTTTTTCTCTCAAAAAAAATTTCAGAAAAGCAAAAATGTGTAAATAAATTATTTCTATCGAAACCAAACATTTTTAAAAGATTGAATCACAAAATCACAGAAAATTCGCAAAATTGTAATGATAAATTTTGCAATTTTCAGTTCTGGTCTAATTTTTAAGGAAAAGTTGTTTGTCTATGGTTCTTCAGATTTCAACTAAACAGCGCATATTTATAACTTTAGAATAAACTACGAAGAAAGAAACTAAAGGATTTAAATAACTTAAAAATTAGACCAGAACTGAAAATTGCGAATTTTCTTTTTACAATTTTGCAAATTTTCTGTGATTCAATCTTTTAAAAATTTTAGATTTTAATAAAAATAATTTATATACACATTTTTGATTTTCTGACCTTTTGATTTTGAGAGAAAAAAAAGGTTCGCGGATTATTTTGAGCCAAATTGGAATATCAAAAATATTGATAATTTTTTTAAAATATTGAAAAAACACCATACAGGAGAGTTGCACAAAAAAGTTACAACTTTGCACCAAGCGACACTAATCCCACTTTTTTGACTCACCCTGTACTATTTTGGTTTATATCTTATAGATGTGCCTACTCTGCTGACATTTTTATATCTATAAAAGATTTATTTGTTTAGCAAAGATATTTCATTGTTGTTTATTTTCTCTGCAAAAATAATATTGCTAAGCTCTGTTGATCTCAAACGCAACCTCAAAAGAAAAGGAGTTTTGTCACTAGCTTAAGATTTATAATCCTTATATTTTTCAACCTGATGGTGTTAACTTGGAATTCATAGTTTGAAATTTCTAAGGTCTTTGACATTAGATTGCAAATATTTAGGGATTAAAAAGTAAGAATTTGTGGCAAATACTCAATTCTATTATCCTTGTTTATTCTCAATGGGACATTTATCGTTATGACTTAATTATAGTTCTAATTAACAAAAATATTTTGAAGAAATAATAAAAAGTATAATTATGATTTAAGAAATTTTCTTATTGCAGAGAATGGAAGTTTGCTCGCACCAAGCTCTGGTTGAGTTACTTTGAAGCAAAATATACTCTTCCACCACCCTTCAATATCTTCCCCACCGTCAAGTCTGTCAAGGGGTTGATCAATATGCTGAAGTGGACGAGTGGAGGAAGTACAGAGAAGTATAATGGAGTTGATAATGCAAACAGTAGACATCAAGATATTATCAGATGTGTTGTTAGAAGGTTAGAATACAGGGTTAGCAACAAAGGATGAGACTTTATATTTTTTTCTGACATTAATTATTCCTTCTACAATTTTTGTATTTTTTAAATCATTAAATTTACCATTTAAAACGTGAATTCAATGTAGAAGACAAAATCCTTCAAATTGCAGTATTTATATGGTTTTAGAGTCTCGCATGCTTTGTGATAAACCCTTTACCTCTTTATAAAACTCCCAATCTTTAGATCAGAGTTATTTTGGTTTAGAAATTTTCTCAAAGCCTCTGTCCCATCTTCACAAGTTTTTAAATATTTTCAATTAAAAAATTTTTAATCACTGTTTTTAACGATCAGTTTGTTGGTTTACAGTAAATTCTATGTCCATTATCAACGTCAGTAAAGTTTCATATTTAAAATGTTAAAATGTTATTCTAGGTATATAATGGCGGAACAGAAGAAAGCTGAAGAGTTTGGTATAACTGAAGACGACGTATCCGAGATTAGACAGGATATAAACAAATTCAGGAATCCAGAAATAGTTTTCAAATTCTTCTCAAGTAACGATTCAATATGAGGATACGAGCCAAGAATTGGATGCATCAAAGTCCAGGGGTTCACAGAATACTTGAGGGAGAAAATCAGAGTGTACCTATAATACAGGGTGTCCCAATAAACATGGGAATTGGATGCATCAAAGTCCAGGGGTTCACAGAATACTTGAGGGAGAAAATCATAGTATGCCTATAATACAGGGTGTCCCAATTAACATGGGAGTGGATGCATCAAAGTCCAGGTGTTCACAGAATACTTCAGGGAGAAAATCATAGTATGCCTATAATACAGGGTGTCCCAATAAACATGAGAATTGGATGCATCAAAGTCCAGGGGTTTCAGAATACTTGATTAAGAAAATCAGAGTATACCTATAATACAGGGTGTCCCAATAAACAGGATAATTGGATGCATCAAAGTCCAGGTGTTCACAGAATACTTTAGGGAGAAAATCAGAGTATATCTATAATACAGGGTGTCCCAATAAACATGGGAGTTTTATGCATCAAAGTCCAGGGGTTCACAGAATACTTCAGGGAGAAAATCATAGTATACCTATAATACAGGGTGTCCCAATAAACATGGGAGTTGGATTAATCAAAGTCCAGGTGTTCACAGAATGCTTGAGGGAGAAAATCATAGTATACCTATAATACAGGGTGTCCCAATAAACATGGGACTGACTTTAAGATCGTCTTTGTTTAAAAAGTTTTGATAATGATTTAATCAATTAGATAGTTAAAGTTTAACACTTAACAACTTGAATTTGAAAATGAGGAAATACTATTCATAGAAACCAAAAAGATAGAGTTTAATCTTCTTGTGAAAAAATAACCAGCTTAAACTATTAGATTATAAAAGATTTAGAACTCCGTAGTATTTTTTCTAGTGTTTTAACATATATATCAAATCAAGTTTCTTAGAAAAGGTCTATGACACAAACTCAAATATTTAATCTTTATAGCTTTGCAACCTAATGGTATAAACATTTGACATTTCAAACTTAGATTATTTGATCCCACAGAATTAATAGTTTGAAATATTTTAAGTCTTCATCAACATTGTATTGCAAAGATATTGAAATTAGAAGATTAGAGTTTGTGGCAAAGATTTATTTCCTTTATCATTGTTCTTATTTTTTAAAGAACGAATAAGATAAGATAAGCCTTGATCAACAGCAAAAGATTAACAATAGAGGGAGGGGTACGAACCGCTTTTTGTAAGCCTGTAGTAGTAAACATATTCAAAGCTTATAGATTACAATTTAATGCCGTCACGAATTGCACTGGCACCATTTATTTCAGTAAAATGTCCAATATTTGGCAAACTTTGCAATTTGCAATTATTGATTCTGAAATCATATCAAGAAGAAAGATAAACATAGATAAACAGACATTTCAGAAATTATTCATTTAACTTTTTCAAACAGTTTGTAATAGACATAATTATTTTCACTTTTTGAGTTTGACTTTATATTGTTCTCACTTTTTCGGGGGGGGGGGAGCGTTTTTTCCTTAAACCAAACTTTTGGATAAACCGATAGATCCTTTTTAGATTACAACAAATTGGTTAAAGTTTGAGAATTCGACAAATGAGAGATCCGGTAATTATCAGTTCAAAACAAGCTAGACTTCTTAGTTTATAAATGGAGAAATAGCTTAGCTATGTAGCTTAACTCTATTTCAACAAAAAGTTCCCGCACGTCTCTTGAACCTGCTAAAGCTTCTTGGACCGACTTTGTTGAATTGCACAGAGTGCATCAGAGAATTGGATTTATTTAAATCAATTTCTATGTTTTCTTCCTTTTCAAGAATACAATTCAGAGATTGTTCAAAACGAGGATTTATCTCAAAGATTCGGAAAATATTTAGGATTCAACCACATGGTTCAAGGAAAATTTAAATCATCAGATTTTGATTATAAGAGCCATAAAAAAAATGAAATTTTAGTTGGAAAATAAAAGATAAAAGATTGTAAGTAAAATTATGAAAGAGAGGGTAACATATTTTTAAAGATATTGTGAAATGGCGTGTTTTGGGGATCGATATGGAACAATTATGAAAGAAGAAGATTTTAATACACCCTCTTCTAGTTCTTTTTGACCCCTTCCCCCCCCCACCCCCCTTCTTTTGAAAACGGACAACCTTCCATGTTAAATTAGATATAAACGCATATATATATATATATAATCAAGGGGGTTTGTCCTTTTTCAGAAAAAGTTTGGTAAATAAGAAATCTTTAACCCTAAACAGGCTGGGGTGGGGCGTTTGGCGACCCCCCTGTAGTTTTTTTTTGTCCTAGCACTCTCATTTTTGACATAATCACCGTGAAATTTTGTGACATTTAATGAATAGTGATTTTTTGTAAAATAATTTTTTTTTTAAATTTATAGGGTCGGGTACAGGTTGGAAAAACGTCCGGTCTGTGAAAAAAAATCAAAAATAGCCCATAACTTTTTTGAGACTAAAGCTATATTTCTTAAAAGCCCTTGTAAAATGCATGTAGAAACATGTGTCACACTTTGACATTTGTTTAAAACAAAAACAATAATATTTTTTTCTTTTTTTTACCCTTTTTTAGGCATTTTTTTTCACCCTCCCTAGCACCCGAACTATTGAAGTTATCGGTCTAATTTTTTTTTCTTTGAGCTGACCATGAAAAATTGGGCTATGACCAACATTACTGACGTATGATTCCCCCAACAGAAGGAGGTTAGGTTACTTAACGTCCCTTAGGACAGTTATGTAAAATATCCACCCGCTCTGTGAAGTTTTCAAGAAAGAATTTGCGCATTTTCATCTCAAAATACGATGAAATTGTGTACAACTACTTTTTCGGGAAAATAAAAAATTTACTTAACCACGGGTTCTCTCGACAAATTTTGTCAACAAAACATCCCTTGCTGCGCACCGGATGTTTTTTAGACAAAATTGGTCTTGGAAACCCTTCACAAAGTGAAATTCCCTTAACTTCCCTGTAAAGTAGTTGTAAATAATTATTAAATATAGAAAAATAATATCCCTGTATAATTACTGATGCAATGTAAAGCAGTTTATCATAAAAAAAGATAATTTAACATTTTAGGGATATTATGAAGAAAATTAAGGTTTGGAATAAAAATGAGAAAATAAGTTTTACAAGATAAAGTACCTGAACAAAAGAGCTTAATCTTGTTAAGTTAAATAAATGTCAGTTATGCAAGGATATTATAATTTAAACTTCATTCATGAAAATCATCAGAAAATATTATAAATACATGTTCACATTGAGTAGACTATACAATGCAATATTGATAAATATTAAACTAATTCTGGATTAAGGTTTGAGTTGGTCGATATACTCAGTAGAAACAACTTCGATATAGGACAGGTAATAAGAGCACTACTAGGACATATATAGGGACTACTATAGGACAGGTAATAAGAGCACTACTAGTACATATATAGGGACTACTATAGGACAGGTAATAAGAGCAATACTAGGACATATATAGGGACTACTATAGGACAGGTAATAAGAGCAATACTAGGACGTACATATATAAGGACTACTATAGGACAGGTAATAAGAGCACTACTAGGACATATATAGGGACTACTATAGGACAGGTAATAAGAGCAATACTAGGACGTACATATATAGGGACTACTATAGGACAGGTAATAAGAGGACTACTAGGACATATATAAAGACTGCTATAGGACAGGTAATAAGAGCACTACTACGACATATATAAGTACTACTATAGGACAGGTAATATTAGGACTACTAGGACTGGTAATATTAGGACTATTAGGACAGATAATATTAGAACTATTAGAATAATTAACATCATGAATGGTTTAAAGTAGGCAAAAAAAACTATACCAGCTAGAATCATACAATGGTTGAATTGAGATACAGGGAGAGGAAAGTAGTTATAACATTTATCTCATTGTATTTATTTTTGATAATGATTGACATGTGTATGATTGAATGAAAAGCTTGATAATACATGTAAATGTAAATATGCAGAAAAATATGTCGGAAGGGTTTAGAATGTTTTTATCTGGTGTGAAAGAAGCATGAAGAAAATATATCATTTATTTCCAGATACTAGATCATTCTATTCATAGCTCAACCACACCATGGATTTATAGAATCTTTGCCGCAACTAGGGGGGGGGGTAGTCAAGGGGGATTGTAGAAGAAGTATTTGTTAAGTTATAATGAGCAAAAAATCAACTAAGAGAATTTCTTACAAAAAGTTTGTTTTAGATTAATAGAACTTCTATTGAAAACATCTCAATACAATCTTAAAGGTTTGTGGGCGTAATTTCAAGTGACCCTTCATATTGTCGCATGTTGGAAAAAGTACTTGATCTCAAAGTCTTGGCCATGATTCCGCCAAAAATGATCTTCATTCTAGTGATGAGATTGGTAATACCTTGCTCTTATTTATTTAAACTCTGGTTTAGGTTCGAGCTGGCTCCGGGTACTGTGGAGGTAGGAGAGCTAAACAAATGGAGAGAAGAATACTTAAGGAATAGTTTTCAATCAATCAATCAGGACTCAATAAATAAAGTTTTAAAAAGGGGTTCTTATAAAATTTACTTTTATTCCTAGTATTTGGAATTTTTTTCTAATGTATAATACTGATTTTATTTTTGTATTGCCATCATCTGTTCTACAATAGTTCGTTCCAAACTTTATTTGTCCTTCACTGCTTTTGTTCTGCGATAATTTGTCCTACATTTCGTTTGTCATTCCCTTTTTTGTCCTACACTTCTTTTGTTCTACGATAATTTCTATTGCATTTCGTTTGTCTTTCCTTTTTTTGTCCTACACTTCTTTTCTTCTGTGATAATTTGTCCCACATTTCGTTTGTCTTTCCTTTTTTGTCCTACACTTCTTTTGTTCTACGATAATTTCTATTGCATTTCATTTGTCTTTCTTTTTTTGTCCTACACTTCTTTTGTTCTGTGATAATTGTCCTACATTTCGTTTGTCTTTCCTTTTTTGTCCTACACTTCTTTTGTTCTGTGATAATTGTCCTACATTTCGTTTGTCTTTCCTTTTTTTGTCCTACACTTCTTTTGTCCTACATTTATTTCGTTACGATAATTTATCTATACACTCATTATGTTTCTCCTTTTTTGTCCTACTTTTCATTTTTTATTATTATTATTAGATCATTTGTGTATACATTTCGTTTGTTGCGTTTCCTACATTACATTTCTACGATATATCGTTCTACACTCCATTTTTCTTCGCATAAACAATAATTTCTCCTGGCTTAATATTCAGTCTTCCCATACTAATCTCCTTGTTTGAAAATATTTGAAAATTTTTGAAAATACCTTTCAACCTTCATCTTGTTTAGTTTTTTTGCTGCTATATGTTTTTTGAGACTCAATAATAGATAAGGAAGTGATGCTTGTTTAGCTTGTTATCATGTAATTGTATTACTTCTGTATGCCGAGTCCATTAGCGCCTGATTCAATCAAGGTTCAGTCATGTGTTTGTTGTCTGAATCTGAATCTGAATTCTGAATCAATAGAAATAGTAGCATCTATCTTTCTATCTATCTCAGTATCCAATTAGTGTTATGAATCCTCCAATCAGGCGCTAACAGTAAATGTAAATATTTACTTCTACTGAAACTATAGTGGTATGTAGTATGTACAAAGGAAAAACATTTTTTTTTCCTTTGATTTGCGTTATTTTTTATCGTTATGGTCTTAATTAAAGATAAAGGAATTGAACCGTTGACACAAACTCAAATTTTCCTATATCCTATATCATTAAAACCTAATGGAGTAAACCTTTGATATTAGAATCCTTACTCCACACGCCTAGAACACCAGATTAGTAAAATATTTATCTAGCAGAAGTCATAGTTTGCAAAGATAGCGCGATTAGAAAATCAGAGTTTGTGGCAAAAACTTAATTCCTTCGCGTTACATGGAATCTATCTACACTGAGAGCCAGAAAACTGTGGAATAGGAAGACGACATAAAAGCAATATGGAATGCATTTGATGTTGTTCTAAAGCAAATAGCTTGACAGTAAGTTCTTAACTCACTTATTAAATGAAATGTGTCTGTTTACACTGCACAATTGCTGTGTCTTATGTTCATTGGACTATTAAGTGATAACTTGAGTCAAAAAGTTGAACGTCTATTCCAGAATTTTCTGGTTATCACTGTATTATATCTATGGTTTAATATTCCTTTGATCTCCTGGATTGATTAAAACTGTTTCTCCGGGTTAGGGTTTCAATATATCCCAGGTAGAGGATATGGTGAAGGACGTGTTCTCCAAGAAGGATAAGTCTGGAGCTGTAGATATATTTCAGGTTGGTTTAATAACATTCGTAAACAGTGGTTGTTTATACAACATAAATTTTAAAATTTTTAAAAATCGCTTATTTGCCAGTAAAAGTTGGATGACTGCCAAATAAGCGATTTTTTGTTGAAAATAAGAGATTTTTAAATTTCGAAATTTAAATTGTTGGGTTGGTAGGGGGGGGGGTAAGGGGGACATCTCTCCTTGAGAAAATTAAAGGGAAGTCCCCATTCTTGGAAATATGAGGAAATGTTCTTTCCTGAAAAAATAGACGCAGCTAAGAAAAGGGAGCAGCCCCTCTGTAGCTAATCTATTTATAGTTAGATTATAATTAATACTTTTATTTGAAGACAAATGTAAAGGGGGTATTGAAAATGTAAAGGGGGTATTGAAATTTTTCCAAGCCTCCTTTGCCAGTTCAAAAGTAAATAATTCATTATTCTCAAATACTCGGAGTAAACAGATGCAAAATAAGAAACATGAATATTTTCAATTAATCAAGATTAAGGAATCTATTTCATTAAATCATTTATTCATAAATCCATTATTCCATCAATCTATCCTATCCATCAATTTCTCTATCTATCAATCCAATCAATCCATCCAATCCATTAATCCATCAATACATCAATCCATCAATCCATCCAACTCTCCAGTAATTAATCCTTAATGAAGCATCCTCGTTTATTAGCTAAAGTTTCCGATCTCAGTGACGAGGTTAAAATAAGTTCAGTGATGTCATTAAACATTTTGATTACAACCGTCTTTAAAGGGACTGTCATTGTAGTTTGAACTGACCCTTTATTCAAATGAGCATGCCCGATAAACAACGGTACCTTAATTAATTATGAGGATACTATACCGTAAATTTTCTATCTTAGAAAGCATAGATTAGTAAAAATTAACAGATAGGACACTATAGAACAGATAGGACACTATAGAACAGATAGGACACTATAGAACAGATAGGACACTATAGAACAGATAGGACACTATAGAACAGGCTCACTCTCTTTAAAGAATTATAATACAGAGAGAGAGCCTGTTTACGCCGACTACTCGTAATCCCTTTGGGCTTCTACTTAGTGTTTTTCTTTCACAATAACCCTGAGGCAGAAGCCCAAAGGTATGACGCGTAGTCGGCGTAGAACAGGCTCCCTCTCTCTGTATTGTAATTCTACAGAGAGAGCCTGTTGTACGCCTACTACGTGTAATTCCTTTGGGCTCCTGCCTTAGGGTTATTGTGAACGAAAAAGACATAAGCACATATATATTATTTTAATTAATCTATGTTAAAAAGTCACAAATGAAAAAAACCTGATGTCTTTACAACTGGATGGTACAAATCTTAGAAATTTTAAACTTTCCTAATTGACACAGCAAAATTGATCGTTTTTAATATCTAAGGTGTACGACATCAGGTTGCAAAGATATTATTTTTTTTTTTTAAACTATGTTTTGAATTATAAATTTTTCTAGGTTATGGCCGAAGCAATGAATAAGAATAGAAAGAAGAACACGGCTCCTGGTAAGTAATAAATAATGATTCAAATTCAAAAGATGTTTTTCACTCCATAATTTTTTTACATTCATTTTCTGGGTTTTCTTTTTGTTTGTTTGTATCCAATAAACGCCAAAGCATCTGACACAAAGCTCACAAGGGAAGACCTATAGCCAATTTAAATTTTAAAAAAATTGCCTTAATATTTTATTTTTTAAGATTTTGAAAATCCACTAGTGAACATCTTAAATTTTATATAGAGAAGAAAAAAGGTTTACGTTGAAGTAACATTAAAAATTAAGAATGTCGCGAAGGCCCCGAAAGCCTAGTTTACATAAAACCCAATTATTTTGAAACTAGGATCTCAGTGTAAGGAGAAGGATATAAAGAGTGAAGGTCTGAAGGATCAGTATTCTCCAGCAACTATGCTGGCAGCTGGCAAGTTTAAGAACTACATCAAGACCATCAAGAAATCTGAAAACGGAAAGATTGAGGTCAGATTTTTTTATTGAAAAACAATATTAACGTTATTTCTTACAGTAAAAAAAGAAAGAACAAGCTTATAGAAAGAAAAAAATGAAATCTAAAGAAATTGATTTTCTAACCGGCCCAATGTTTTAAAATTTCTAAGTTTGAAATATCAAAGGCTCAATTCCTTCAGGAGATAAGGAAATGGAAGATATTAAAGAAAAGGGAAAAGAAAAGGTTGTTTAGCCTTTATTTGATTAATTTGTTTAATTTTAATACTTTAAGCTTAATTCGTAAAACATGTCTTAATGAAGCATTTAAGACTGCTATAAAGGTGGTATAATGAATATATAGAACATATTAGAAAACTCCTGGTAGGACTGATGTAAAGGTGGGATAATGAATATGGTAGAACATATTAGACAGATAGGACACTAAAGAACAGATAGGACACTATAGAACAGATAGGACACTATAGAACAGAGGTAGGACTGATGTAAAGGTGGGATAATGAATATGGTAGAACATTTTAGAAAACTCCTGGTAGGACTGATGTAAAGATGGGATAATGAATATGGTAGAACATATTAGAAAACTCCTGGTAGGACTGATGTAAAGGTGGTATAATGAATATGATAGAACATATTAGAAAAAGTCCTGGTAGGACTGATGTAAAGATGGAATAATGAATATTGTAGAACATATTAAAAAAACTCCTGGTAGGACTGATGTAAAGGTGGGATAATGAATATTGTAGAACATATAAGAAAAACTTCTGGTAGGACTGATGTAAAGGTGGTATAATGAATATGATAGAACATATTAGAAAACTCCTGGTAGGACTGATGTAAAGATGGGATACTGAATATGGTAGAACATATTAGAAAAACTCCTGGCAGGACTGATGTAAAGGTGGGATAATGAATATTATAGAATAGATTAGAAAAACTCCTGGTAGGACTGATGTAAAGGTGGGATAATGAATATGATAGAACTGATTAGAAAAACTCCTGGTAGGACTGATGTAAAGATGGGATAATGAATATGGTAGAACGGATTAGAAAACTCCTGGTAGGACTGATGTAAAGGTGGGATAATGAATATGGTAGAACATATTAGAAAACTCCTGGTAGGACTGATGTAAAGATGGGATAATGAATATGGTAGAACGGATTAGGAAAACTCCTGGTAGGACTGATGTAAAGATTGGGATAATGAATATGATAGAACATATTAGAAAAACTCCTGGTAGGACTGATGTAAAGGTGGTATAATAAATATGATAGAACGTATTAGAAAAACTCTTGGTAGGACTGATGAAAAGGTGGTATAATGAATATGGTAGAACGGATTAGGAAAACTCCTGGTAGGACTGAGATGTAAAGGTGGTATAATAAATATTATAGAACGGATTAGAAAACTCCTGGTAGGACTGATGTAAAGATGGGATTATGAATATGATAGAAAATATTAGAAAAACTCCTGGTAGGACTGATGTAAAGATGGGATTATGAATATTATAGAACATTTTAGAAAAACTCCTGGTAGGACTTATGTAAAAGTGGTATAATAGACATGGTAGAATGGATTTAGAAAAGGTTCTGGTAGAACGGATGTTCAAGTAGGATAATGGACTAGGAAGAACAGATTAGAAAGACTCCTGAGTGGTACGACGGATGTAAAGGTGGGATAATAGACAAGGTAAAACAGAGGTGGGAAACTCATGGCAGGACAGGAGTAAAGGTGGGTTCTATTTTAAAATCTCCAGGATTAGGGAATCTGAACCCTGGCAGAACCCCTTGCTAGCGCTTTTACAGTCTTTAGGAATTTAAGATATGAAAGTAGTTGAGTCTTTGCCACAAACTTGAATATTCCAGTCCCTTTATCTGGCGATGTAAACCTTTGATATTTCAAACTTAGATTACATGATCTAATAGAGTTTATAGTTTGAAATATCTAAGGTCTACGACATTGGGTTGCAAAGATAGAGGTATATATATTATAATATCAGAATTTGTGGGGAAAACTCACAATAACTATACTATACTATAGTAACTATATAATATATATATAAACTTTGATTATGATTATCTTTGAACATAAACAAGATACATGAAAGTGTTTATAAATTTTTGGCGCAAAATTTACTTTTCTTTAAATGTTTACAGGAAACACAATGTTCTAACTTGCCTTAAACACGGTTAAAATGGGGAAAACTAAAGCATTTGAAATTTATAAAAGTAGATCTATAAAGCATGAGTTTTCTCAAAAAGATCTCAATGAAAAAAGTTAGGATTAGCATTTTCTCAATGATTTTACTTATATTTTCAAACCCCACCAATCTTTTTCGGAGGCGATTCAAAAGTCTTGATTTTGTTGAGGCGCACTCTGTTTAAAGTACAGTATTTCTTGGTGTGGGAGGAAGAAAGGATAGATGAAAGGTTGGATATGTAGAAGAATGAATAGGAAGAAGGATGGATAGTTGGAAGGATGACTAAGTGGAAAGAGGGACATGTGGAGGGATGGATTAGTGGAAGGATGAATGGATTTGTGGATGGATGGATTAGTTGAAGGATGGATAAGTGGAAGAATGAAAAATTATGGGATGGATAGGTGGAAGGATGTCAAGATAGAATGATAAAAGGATAAACTTGCCCAGCATATCTTTAAGTGGGATATATTCTTTTATATTTAGGTTCGCTCCGGGTTAACTGTACCTACACCGATGAGTGAAAGAGGAGGAGAAGGAGGGAGAGAAAAAAGAGAAGGAGAAAAGAAAAAAGGTTCAGAAAAGACCGAAAAAGGAGAATCTGAATTGAGCGCTGATGAATCTCCTCCGTCCTACTTTGAAAGGAAAGGACGAGGGTCTAAGCATGAAAGAGCAAGAGAAACTAAATCTCTACCTGGCAGATCTCAATCCTATCCGGGGAAAGGAATCCTGGCTCCTTCTCTCTCAACTAGGTAAACACTATAAACTCAACTAAACTTGTTTTCGGCAGTTCTTTGTCGTTACAACTAAATGTCTACACACTTAAATTACACAAAGTTCAATGTATAAATCGTTTGTAATAACAAATAGAAACTGAAAGTAAAAATTACAATCATAATAGTAATACCATGTAAACTAAGCTTAAGTCTTTTAGATTTGTATTTCCTTCTGTACTCTTCGCTTAGAATCAGTTTTATTAGATTTCACCCGAGTTTTTTAGTTTAAAACTTTTCTAAACTTTGTCTAGTGCATCTTCCCTCCCCTTCCTCCCTTCTTCCCTTTTCTTCCATTCTTCCTCCCTTTTACCCCCCTTCCTGTCCTGTCTTCATATCTATTTAGGAGATATTTCCTTGTTCCTTGAAGATACTGTCTACCCTTCATTAGGAGATATTTCCTAGTTCCTTGAACATACTGTCTACCCTTCATTAGAAGATATTTCCTAGTTCCTTGAAGATACTGTCTACCCTTCATTAGGATATAGGAATTGAGTCTTTGGAACAAAGTAAAATATTTAAATCTCAATATCTTTAGAACTCGATGTTGTAAACCTCTGATATTTCAAACTCAGATTATTTGAAAATCAGAGTTTGTGTCAAAGACTCAATTACTTTCCTAGTTCCTTGAACATACTGTCTACCCTTTATTAGAAGATATTTCCTAGTTCCTTGAAGATACTGTCTACCCTTCATTAGGAGATATTTCCTAGTTCCTTCACAATAATGTCTACCCTTCATTAGAAGATATTTACCAGTTCCTTGAAGATACTGTCTACCCTTCATTATGAGATATTTCCTAGTTTCTTCACAATAATGTCTACCCTTCATTAGGAGATATTTCCTAGTTCCTTGAAGATACTGTCTACCCTTCATTAGGAGATATTTCCTATTTCCTTCACAATAATGTCTACCCTTGATTAGGAGATATTTCCTAGTTCCTTGAAGATACTGTCTACCCTTCATTAGGAGATATTTCCTAGTTCCTTTACAATAATGTCTACCCTTCATTAGGAGATATTTCCTAGTTTCTTGAAGATACTGTCTACCCTTCATTAGGAGATATTTCCTAGTTCCTTCACAATAATGTCTACCCTTCATTAGGAGATATTTCCTAGTTCTAAGATACTGTCTCACCTTTATTAGGAGATATTTCCTAGTTCCTTCAAAATAATGTCTACCCGTATCTCAGATTCACAATATTTTCCTTCAAACCTTGATTTTTTGTATTGTGTTGAATAAATATTCTTTATTTTCTACCAAAAAGTGTTAGTTTGCTGTCGCAGATCAAATCTATATTATATGTTTAGAAACCTGAATATAGATCTAGGAAGAGCCCTGAGATCAAATCTATAATATGTTTAGAAACCTGAATATAGATCTAGGAAGCCCTGAGATCAAATCTATAATATGTTTAGAAACCTGAATACAGATCTAGGAAGCCCTGAGATCAAATCTGAACTTATCGGGGCTGCAATCATCCCCTGTTCTATAACACTTAAGGTAAAAAGTTTTTATAAAAATCATTCAATAAAATTAGTTCAGAAATTGGAAAAAAGAACTGGTCACATTTTCTGTCTCTCACATGAATAAAAATTAAATATTATTGTTAGCATTGTTGAAAAAACTGTTAAAAGTTAAATCAATGTCAGAATGTAAAATTTCAGCTAAAGGTGAAAGGTTAGATTTTCGCCCTCCAATAGTAGAGATAATCGTAACGTTACCAGTTATAAGTGGAAAAAAATGAGAAAAACCTTGCAAGATGCTCGTTAAATTCTCCCATTGATTGTTCTAACCTTTGTTTTTTCTCCTAGGTTACTTCTGAACTGGACGGACCAGAATTGAAAGTAGGGTCTGGAGAAGCTAGAACTAACAATCTTTCCAACAATAAAAGGACGGATCAGGGAGATGATTCAGAGAAGAGCTCCTGTAAACCCAGTAGTTTAGGTTCTGTTACTAGAACATCTAAACTATCTGCTCTTCAGGTTGAGCAGACTGGGAACACTGGCGGATGGATTTAGAGATAAAATGTTTTATGGGAAATTCGGTTAAATCCCCGGAAAAAAACATTTGTTTTTTTTCAAATCCTTCGTTTTCATTTATCTTAAAAAAATTTAAATCTCCACATGGGTGACATTTTTTCTTCGAATTATTAAGATTTGATATTATAAATACTGGTGAATTTTTGGCAATTTGTCGTTATAGAAACATAATTAAATTTTTTAATGCAAACAAATCTAAGGGTTCTTTTTGTTGGCATCAAACCCTTTCAGGTGCTTTTCCAGCGAACGACAATTGGAAAATAAAATGTAAAAATACGAAATAGCTCAATTAATACAATTTTGTCCAATCCAATATTGTCTGACCAAATAATATGTAATAGCTACTTCTATACAAGAAAATGCTTATTTTAACAAATCAAAATTTTCAGGACTTACTTGCGCCTGAGAATCAAATCTAAAAGAAAACAAAATCGAAAGCATTTTTTATTTAAACACGTTTAATCCTCAAAATTGTATTTAAAATCTTTGTAATTTTTAATTGTAAATCCCAGTTTATATTAAAATGAATTCTATAAAATTGATTTTATATCTAATAGGTGTAATTTTCTATATTTGAGCTAAAGTTTACCAAAGTAAAAATAAATATTTATATATGGTGTAAACTATACTTTTAACAACCTTTATAATCTACAAAGAGATTGATTTGAAACTATCATTCATCATGTTTATTTAAATATATATAACTTCAATTCAAGGCACTGGGCACAGACACAAAGGGAGTTTTGGATAAAAAAGTTGTCAAAATTGCAACAGAAAACAGAGAAACATTTACCAACATTTTTTCAATATCAATCGCATATTTTTCTACCATTTCCTCTTTATAAGCGCTATGGATAGAAATAAAATTAGTAGAGATCAAATCCAAATTTAACGAGGATTCCGTCTATATTTCCTTGTTAGACAATTTATTTCATATATGCAGTGTGCACTGTAAACTGGGAGAGCTAAATCCTATTCCTGCTTTGCTAGATCATCATAGCACCTAATATTGATATGATTCGTCGAAATATTAAAATACTAGCCTTAGAGGGCGCAACGCGCCCATCTTCTAAATTAATTGTGAACATGTTCTCTTTGTGTACATCGTAAAACAAAACAAAAATAACTCGCGGATTTTCACATAAAAATTTCGTGGATTTTCAAAAATTTAATGAGGATCGAATTTTGATAGAGACAAATATTTGAAATTTTAATCATTAATAAACCTTCCCTGTGGTCACGTGATGTCCCACAAAAAATTTGGGCCCGATCGGTTCAGCTGTTTTGACGTTTATTGGATACAAACAAAGAGACAAATAAACAGACAGACAAGCCAAATTTATATATATGAGTGAGATGAAATCTAAGTTCGTAATATCAAAATTACAGAAAACATTCTAGATTTTAATCAATTTTTACGAAAAAAATGGATATAAAATTTTCGAAAATGTTCGTTTTGGAAAATTTATGGTAGTTCAAAATTAAGAACAATATTTCTTTTTTATTCTATTTCTAACAATGTTCTGTACACATTACCGCAAATCTTGCTACATTGACGGTGGACAATATATATTTTTTCTTTCATATTTTAAGATGCAATCTGCATAAACAAGATAATGAAAATCATACTTTTGTTGACCTAGAATCCTTGATGTTCGTAGTTCACTCATGCCAATTCCCCCCTTCCTCCCCATCAACAAATACCAGTCCCCCGACTTCACCCCCCTCCCCCTCCAATTTAATATTTCCCCCCTTCCCTCCCTAACGAGTAAAGTTTGAGGTTATGGAACATTTCTAGAGAAAAGAACTCTGAACATTAACTTGAATTCAGACTTGTTCATCACACCAGACTACAGGGTGTATCTTGTTCATTACACCAGACTACAGAGTATATATTGTTCATTATACCAGACTACGGGGTGTGTCTTGTTCATCACACCAGACTACAGGGTGTATCCTGTTCATCACACCAGACTACAGGGTGTTTCCTGTTCATTACACCAGACTACAGGGTGTATCTTGTTCATCACACCAGGCTACAGGGTGTATCCTGATCATTACACCAGACTACAGGGTGTATACTGTTCATTATACCAGACTACAGGGTGTATCCTGTTCATTACACTAGACTACAGGGTGTATCCTGTTCATTACACCGGACTATAGGGTGTATCCTGTTCATCACACCAGACTACAGGGTGTATCTTGTAAATTACACCAGACTACAGGGTGTATCCTGTTAATTATAACAGACTACAGGGTGTATCCTGTTCATTACACCAGACTACAGGGTGTATCCTGTTCATTATACCAGACCAAAGGGTGTATCCTGTTCATTATACCAGACTACAGGGTGTATTATCTTCATAATACCAGACTACAGGGTGTGTCCTGTTCAAGATACAAGACTACAGGGTGAATCAAGCTCATTACACCAGACTACAGGGTGTATCCTGTTCATTATACTATACTACAGGGTGTATTCTGTTCATGATACAAGACTACAGGGTGTATCATGCTCATTACACCAGAATACAGGGTGTATCCTGTTCATTACACTAGATTACAGTAATTTTAAGATTGCACGATATGATTAGATATGCGTTTGATATTTCACAATGAGGCGATTAATAAACATCATTATATAACACGCAAAAGGCGTTTTTACTTCTTTCTTTTACATCCACTTTAAATTTTGTTGTTGAACAAGAGAGAAGTATATTCCTCACACTGCACTACAGAAGTGGTTCAAGCAATCATACTTAGTTCAGCTGCTTCTTGCCCCATCAAATCCACTTTAAACCAAGAGAGAAGTATATTCCTCACACTGCACTAGAGAAGTATATTCCTCACACTGCACTACAGAAGTGGTTCAAGCAATCATACTTAGTTCAGCTGCTTCTTGCCCCATCAAATCCACTTTAAACCAAGAGAGAAATATATTCCTCACACTGCACTAGAGAAGTGGTTCAAGCAATCATACTTGGTTCATCTGCTTCTTGCCAATCCTACATCAAATCCACTTTAAACCAAGAGAGAAATATATTCCTCACTGCACTAGAGAAGTGGTTCAACCAATCATACTTGGTTCAGCTGCTTCTTGCCCATCCTACATCAAATCCACTTTAAACCAAGATGTGCACCGCCACACGCAAAACTTAAGTTACTCCTTTTAACTTAAGTTAGAAACTAAACCGTTGCATTTTTTAAATGTATACATCTAGGGCTACAAAAAAGTTGCAGTAAGTTGGGGAAGTAAAACCAAAGGCCAAGGCGTTGCGACACATTAGTCGAAGGTGTCTATAAAGTTGATGACTAACTTTTAGAGTTGTCTAAATCTCAGTTAATCCACTAGTTATATATTGCAGAACTATTTGAAATATAACAAATCGATTTGGATTTAATGGATTTTTTAATGTTTGAACGTTTTTAGCGACCTTTGATGTGTAATATAAAACAGTTTTGTATGCACTTTGCTAAAGTGTCATTCTTTCTGGTAATTATTTTTTTATTTATAACAAATATTTCAAAACTAATATTTCTATAATTCTGACTGGATATAAATTAATCTCCTCTAGGATTTTTTTAGATTCCTAAAATAGAATGAACGTAAGATTGTATCTTATATGCTTTTTACCATAACTCCTCTTCGCAAATATTAAATTTAACCTTCGCTTCCTGGCTAGTTTGTAGTGACAAAAATTGATCGAGACGATTTAGCAATTTAACTTTTAATTGATTCAAACAAAACAAGAGAATAATTAAAGGGACTGAGAAGGAAAAATGAAAGGGGGTATGGAATGAAACCTGAGAATCTCAGGCGTTGAACGATATATATAAGATATCTATCTAATGCTTCTGACTCGAGAAATTGATATAAAACTGTGTCAAATTTATACGAAAATTCATATACATGCAATTTTGTATAAAAGTTGTAATATTAAACAGATCATATTCAACAAACGGAACCAATCTGAAAACGACGATATCCCACAGAAACCTGAAAATCTGAGGTTTGCTCCTGTTATAATTATAGTTATAATTGGTAATATTATTACATATTATTTTTTATTAGATATATTTATACTGTATTTTGGGTAAATATATTTATTATATTCCTTGCTCTATATTTTCTGCAGACAGATCTATATATTACTGAATATACTGTGAAAACAGATATTAAAGTTAGTCCAGATCCAGAATAAAGTTAGAGACAGTTCATTCATCATTTCCTGGGGAGTAACCATCCTCAGCCTTCAGGACTATACATATACAATATTTCCTGGACTACTATACATATACAATATTTCCTTAACTACTATACAATATGCAACATTTCCTGGACTACTATACAATATACAATATTTCATGGACTACTATACAATATGCAATATTTCCTGGACTACTATACAATATACAATATTTCCTGGACTACTATACATATACAATATTTCCTGGACTCCTATACAATATACAATATTTCCTGGACTACTATACATATACAATATTTCCTGGACTACTATACAATATACAATATTTCCTGGACTACTATACAATATACAATATTTCCTGGACTACTATACAATATACAATATTTCCTGGACTACTCTACAATGTACAATATTTCCTGGACTCCTATACAATATTTAAAATTTGGTGATGGTGATGGACCAAACCTCTGTAGAGTAAAAAAGTAGATGTGAGTTCCACATTTATTGAAAATATATTTCGGTCTGGGTTGACCCTCGTCAGTTCTAACGATATAATAACCATCAAAATCGGTAAAAAAAAATAAAAACAATTTTACGTTAAAAGTCACAAGAAAATAAAGAAACAAAAAAGATTATTCAAAATAAAAATTTGGGCTGTCAAATGGACATAAGGGAAACGCACTCAGATTATAAAATGGAAAAAGATAATTTGCAAATATTCACTTTAAAAAAAATGTTTTAAGACAATTATAATTCCTTGAGATTGTTTCTGTCACAAAGGTTAAAAACAAACTATATACAATATTTCCTGGACTACTATACAATATGCAATATTTCCTGGACTACTATACAATATACAATATTTCCTGGACTACTATACAATATACAATATACAATGTTTCCTGGACTACTATACAATAAACAATATTTCATGGACTACTATACAATATACAATATTTCTGGACTACTATACAATAAACAATATTTCATGGACTACTATACAATATACAATATTTCCTGGAGTACTATACAATGTACAATATTTCCTGGACTACTATATAATATACTATATTCACTGGACTACTATACAATATACAATATTCACTGGACTACTTTACAATATACAATATTTCCTGGACTACTATACAATATACAATATTTCCTGGGCTACTATACAATATACAATATTCACTGGATTACTTTACAATATACAATATTTCCTGGACTACTATACAATAAACAGTAGTTCAT